TTCACCGAATGTTTGAACAGCTTCCTCTTCCTGCGACTAAGCGAGAAGTTAAGTCCGCCAACGAAGTAACACCAGCAGCTATTAGAGTAGCAGCACTAATCGACCATTCGCTCATTCAAAGCCGACGCAAATTGTAGTGCGGCCTGAGCATCATCTATGACATTACCAAGACATACCGCATCATTATAGGCGTCGTCAAACCTCTGGGCAAAGGTGGCAACTTTCTCGGACTTTCCTTGTGATAAAAATAGTAGGCTTTTCCAAGAATCCAACTTGCCAGAGTCTCCTTGACCATAAAGTGATAGAAAGCTTGAGACCTCTCGTCGCAGCTCTTGAATAAGAGCAGGCTGAGTAGTGACTCTGCGAGGATGAACAGCAGCTCGAGCAGTCTGAGAAATCTGACGCTTCAATAGCTCCCGATACTCTAATGCCGTGAAAGCTTCCTCAATTGCAACATCACGAACATAGGTCAGTACTCGTCGCATAGATCGGCTATCACCTTTACCAGTGAAGACACCTCCCTTCAAAAGCTCTATATCCTTAACCGATTTTCGAGCTTGGCGGCGTTCTTGAGAAGTAATTACGGCATCCTTCAACTCAAATTTGGGCAACAAACCAAGAACATCATGTCGAGGGTCCTTAGAAGAGGTAGATACCGATTTAACAGCCGGAAAACCAGTCTCTACCGGGCTAGCACTAAACAACAGGCCATCTCCAACAGCAGGCTTCGGGGCTGCCACAACAGCAGCCTCCACCGTAGGGTCGGGTTGATGGAGTTGAGAGAAGTACTGAGGAAAAGTTGGCGAAAAGAAGCTGAACGGATCAAAAGCTAAGTCCTTAGTGGCCGCAATCTTATCATGCCTCAAATCTCTCAACTCTGACTCAGAAGGCTTCTTCAGCAACAAATCAGACTCTACTAACACTGGTAACAGATAGCATACCATATTATCCTCAAAGTTGTTACAGTCCTCTACACCAAAAGTCGTACAGAAGTAACCGACGGTATCAAGAAGATACTGCTTAACTATCTCAACCGTTAGCCCTTCTTCAGGAAGATCGTCCTTTGAGACAGCCTTGAGACCATTATACACACTCCTTCCTATTTGAGTAGTAACCCCAGAAAACTCCAAGGCCTTCCCAGAGCATACATAATCCAAACAACTTTGAATAGTCATATCAAGTTCAGACGTCGCTAATGGCAAGTCTTTGTCTCCTATAGTGGATACAGCCCGAGGTGCCATATTGAGAGCCAGAACCCAACGTCGACCAAAATATTAGAGAGACTTAACTTATAATCATCACTGGTATGCAAATGACTACAGCTTAGCTCAGCGATGATACGCTGAGAATTAACCACAATGGGACAAATATCACGAGAAACAACAATTGACACAAGCCGAATCTCGCAGACCTTCACACTATGTATACATCAGACTGCGAATCGATCCTTATCAAGCAAATCCGAACAGAGAAACCCGGATAAATAGAGATACTTCGTCTCGCTCTGCCCCTTATCCCAATCATGAGATTTGCTATCGCTTCTAGCACATAGCTGAAAAGAGGTTCGTCCTCATGCATTTCCGCCACTGAGGCGTGACCGGCGCTCCACGATTGCTCGGCACAGTTTTATTCTGTACAACTGTTCAGGAGGAGAGTTCCATCGTTGCGCTGCTGCTGTCGAAGAAACTGTGGCACTAGACATTTCAGTCAAGCTATCGGCAGCTCATTCATCAGTCGAACTGATTCAGTTCACTCGTCTGAGCCGATATGATCAAAATTCAATGCATCGGAAACACTGTGCGTGCTCTATGTTTGTGCTTACATGGGCTCCTCGGAAGCCGCTCCCCAGATTCCGATTCGCAGGGCCTGCGACGCAGGCTTCAAAGATTCCCGACAATAAAACTAACTACCAAGCTGGAGGAAAAATATGTTTCCCTCCGCCCGTCTTATAATAAGACTCTTAT